TCCCTGTAGCTTTGCTGAGACATTCCTCAGGGGATAAAGTAATGGAGTCCAGGTGCATAGGATAGACAGTGGTCCTCACTTGGTTGAGGGGTGGAGAGGAGAGGACAGTGGAGACTGTGTCTTGTTAAAAGTACACACTCTTGGGCCTTTGCCTAGAGATCGATTCTTGGGTTGGATCCAGAATATACACTTTTAAACAAACACTTTAGCCTATTTTGATGAAGGTGTCTTTCTGACGATACTTTGAGGAATACTTGATTGTCAAGAATCAAAGATTATGGCCTGTGTGTCCTTTACATCCATATTAAATTGGGGGAGGATGGCAAAGGAAAGTTGCTTAGGGATAGGTGACGTTCGGGGAGAGAGTGGATTCAAGGTAGCAAAGATCTGGGTCTCTGGTCTTTTGGGAAAGTTGCCTAGAATTGGTACCAAAGTAACAATTACCTCAATTTGGCTTTCATAGTAGTTCCATGGAGAGCAGACAATTTAAGATTTTAGATGTTTGGTGGGCAGTTGAGGTGCCTTAATTTTGTGTGGCTGAACTGGGGAGCAGGAAGAGGTCTACAGCTTTTAGTTACAAGACACATGCAGAGAGAAAGCAGACCTTTTTGGTTTTGGTGAAAATCTGAAGGGACTGTTTTGCCTAGGTAAAAGGCCGTGCAAACTGTGTATTGAGCTGAGGGAAGAAGTGGATTGTATATCAAGATCATTTTAGTTCATAGGTGTCAGCTTAGGCCTAAACAAATGTAGCCTATCCGAAGGTGTTACTCATTTTCTGAGGTGAAACCAAGCACAGCTGTATTCAACAGTACGGTATTAGCTTAAGAAACTTCCCTGGAGTTTGAGGGGGAAATGGCATAGTTTTGAGACTTTCCAGCAAACTTGAGTGGAGGGGGATGCTGAATTGAGTGAGATAATTTGAATACAAGGAAACTGTCTGTTTACTGATATAACGAGGTCCTCATGTATCATCATTCGCAGTATTAACAGCATTCATGGCTACTAAGCATTCATCAGGGGTTGGAACCTCTTATAGTCAGTCATACTTGTTGCCCCAAGGTGGTGCTGTGGTATTTTGGAAACAATGCCCTAGGAAAATTTGGCAAATGAAGATGGCTTTGAAATCAGTTAGAGGTTAAAACTGAATTTGTTAATGTTTTTCTGATTACTCAGGAGAAATTTTAAACCAGGGTCGTTCACAAGGCTGCCACCAGTCTCATGTAGTAAATTGGGTTTCTGGAGAAGGAATCTGAAGTGCCTGTATCCTGCCATTACTTTTGAGGACATCCTTGATTAAGTGAACCTTTCCTAGTTCTCCTAGCATATTGTTTCCCATCACCACGATACCTCTAGCATGTAGAAATGGGGGAAAACAGAAATGCCTGTTGGAATCAGAGGCTGGCTCTACTGCTTGCTCTTAGCAATGTTACCTTTTAATGAAGGATATGTTTATGTAATTTTATTTATCTTATCTATTCATGTAATTCTTAAATTGAAAGTGTCTTCTCATAGATTTGCTTTGGGGAAAGAGGGTGTATTTAAAGCATTTCCTACTAGCCATGGAGTTTCATGCGAGTTTCTATTTCAGGCTCAGAAGGAGGCTAAGGAAGCAGAAATGAGCAGGAAGGAGCTGGGGCTTGATGAAGGGGTAGATAACTTGAAAGCAGTTATTCAGGTAAACTTGGCAAGTTGTCACCATTTCTTCATCATGGTTTTTTTTTTTTTTTTTTTTTTTTTTTTTGGCTCTGGCCAGTACTGGTATTCAAACCCTTGACCTTGGTGTTATAATACTGTGCTCTAACCAACTGAATTAACCAGCCAGCCCTTTTTCATGTTCTTATTCCTATCACTAATATTTTCTTTGGAGCGTATGTAGTGTTGTGGGTATTTTCTTTTAAGACATAATTCACATACCAGCTGTTTGTCCTTTTAAAGTGTACAATTTAATGCTTTTTATTATATTCACAAAGTTGTACTACCATCACCACTGTCTAATTCTAGAACATTTTCACCACTCCAAAAAGAAACACCATACCTATTAGCAGCCACTCCTCTTCTCCCCTTCCCCCAGCCCCTGGTAACCACTGTTGAGTTTTGAAATCTTATGTTTTAACTTCTCAAACAGAGCAGACAAAAGGATCGGCAAAAAGAAATGGACAATTTTCTGGCTCAGATGGAAGCAAAGTACTGCAAACCTTCCAAAGGACGAGGGAAGAAAATAGCTCTCAAGAAAGAAAAGAAATAGGATTTCTCTTCACAGATCCTTAGGTGTTAATTGGTGTGGTGAAGATTTGAAGGCAAAAGTCAACCTGACCCTCGAGAGAAATTGTATTTCCAGCCTAAATTATTCAGGTCAACTAAACCAAGCAGAATCTTTTAACCTGATCTTAGTATTTCCTAGAAATCCCCGACATTGTGTGAAGTCAGAAGGAATTTGGTGTTGATAGTTGGGAGGGCAGAGGGTGAGGTAGTTCCTGATAGCACTTGCTTCCATGGATCTTCTGTACATGGAACTCAGTCTGGAGTGTGGGTCTGTCAGTGCTGCTTTCAGTGATGTGTGTGTCTATTAGAACAGGTCCTCTACCTAGCTAGAACACTTTCAAAACACTTGATGAACAGCTTTTTTCCAAGTACTTGCCAGTTTGCTTTGGTCTTAGTGGTTTTGAATAGACCCTCTCTCTTGTCTCACTCAGCTGCGTTTTGTACTGTTCTTGAAGATTAGGAGAAACAGGTGTTTAAATTACTTCAAGCATTTTTGTAAGACATATGATTAAATAAATAAAAAATGATTAAGTTCTGGGAGTTTTTTTTCTTTATTTTTTATTGAGTCATAATTGATTATACATATTTTTGGGATTCAGTGTTGATCAAATCAATATTACTAGTATGTATATTGTTACAAATTGTACTTATTATTTATGCCCCTTGTCCAATCTCTCCCTATTGCCCTCTCCCTCCCCCCTCCCACCTCTGATAACCCTAGATTTCTTCTCTCCCTCTGCAGGAGTAATGGTTATTCTGTTGATTTGTTGCCTAGCTGATCTGTCCAATGCTGAAAGGTGTGTTCAGGTCCCCAAATATTGTCATAGAACAGATGCTTCTGTCACTCTGGAATGGGCTTTGTGGAGAGAGACATCCTATTCTTTTCTTTGGTCTCTGCTGGCAACTCTCCTTGTGTCAGTGCACTCCAGTGGCTGGCGGACCATCTGTGTGGTGGTTGTGATGTCTAGCCTCTTTTGCAGCAGCTGAGGTTACTGTGGTGGGACACCCACATGGAGGTGATGTTTTTGGCCTGCTCATTGGTGCTGGCAGTGTGCCTGGTTGTGGGCGGGAGTGTCTGGTCCCCAGTTGGATGCCCTAGGCCCCCGGGCAGGGCCCCGAAGTGCTGGCTGTATGCCTGGTTGTGGGTGGGTGGGCTGGATTGTTAAATTCTTGGGGCTTTTTTAAATGATCCCAGTGATCATTTAGAATGTGAGGGAAGAGGGAAAAAAAGTCCTAGTCAGCATTATAATAGCCAGCCTGGTTTAAGTAGCATAGAGACGTGTTTCGTAGTCCCGCTTCTAAATGCTGAATGTCCTTAGATCACTGAGCTTCTCTGAACTTGTTTCCTTGTCTATAAGAGTAAGATCCAAACTTGTCAAATAGTATATATTAATTAAATGTGTCCAGGATTTTGAAAAGAAAAAAGTTTGCACTGGCTTTGGGTGGAAATATACAAGGGTGCATCAAAAAGTTCATGGAAAAATAGAATTAAAAGATAATACGAATCCTATGAACTTTTGAAGTACCGTTGTGTGTGTGTACGTGTACGCACGCACACACACACACGCACACACACACACACACACCAGTGGAGACTGAGCTGAATGACTTCTTAGAGGCCCCCTTCCACTCTATAACTTTGAAAGGCAAGCCATATTGATCCAATAGTTTTTATAGTGCACTCCTGATGTTGATTTGTGAGAACAGTACAGAGATTTTCACTTATATTTAGATGAGTGGGTATGTATTCATTAGAATATATGGAATTATTTTTAGGGACTGTTCAACTTACAATTTCCAGTTTGTAGGCTAATATAGTCAACATACCATATGCATAAAATAAGCCTTCTCTTGCTACTGAATTTTATATATCATAATTTATCTAAGTTAAGCACATGACACATTTTCAGTTTAAAAATATTCTTTAATTGTATTAAAAATATAATGAAGATTGTTTTGAAGCATCTGTCTTCATATGATAGCATTAGAACACCTAGGTATAAAATAAAAGTTACCCCAACTTATGATTATTTGAACTTATCCACCCTGAAAATAAGATCTAAAACTGGTATGATAATCAAGGTTAATATTCAGTGAAATTAAATTTAAGCCATAGTTAAAACCATTGCTGTGTTCATGAGTGCCCTCAGGAAAAGATCCCTGGTAAAATCAGAAGAATGCTGCAGATCCGTACTGCTGCCGCTCTTAGGGTATGTTTATGCTGAACTACTTATCAGGGTTTCTTAAATTTTTAAGGGTTAGGTTAGATTCTACAAATTATTCTTTGACTTTCTTTGAGCTACAGGAGACTCTGGAAAGGTGAGTTTAATATTTGGAAAAAAATATAACCAGTAAAGTACTTTAAGATGATGAGCATACCTGATATCAAGAAGGCATTTTAAGGTCGAGCTGTCCTATCCAAAAAAAACTATGCAGTATGATTAATTACATAAGGTACTTTACACCGATGCTGAACGTCTATGTCTTCAGTTACCCCTTCCATTTCAATCTGCTGATAGGACTGGACATCTAAAGAGTAAGCTTTAGGGCCGGCCCGGTGGCGCACTGCTATAGTGCGCCGCTTGGGAGTGTGGTGGCGCTCCCGCTGAGGGTTTGGATCCCACATACAGACCGGCCGCTCACTGGCTGAGCGAGGCGCGGGGGCAACACCGAGGGTTGCGATCCCGTTGCCGGTCCCGGTCCGGTACGGGGGCGACACTGAGGGTTGCGATCCGTTGCCGGACACGGAAAAAGACAAAAAGGAAAAAAAAAAAAAAAGAGTAAGCTTTAGGAATAATATCTATTTGATGAATAACTCAGATTTTTCACAGCACTATCTCCTAAAAATGACTTAAAACTGATACAACTCCACAGAAATAAAAGCTGGCGTATTCTGAAGCCAATGATACTGTTATCAAACAATCATTTGCTGCTTTTTGTGTACATGTAATCTCATCAAATTCTGTAATTATTGAACTGATCATTGTTAACAGACAACATGAGCAGTGATTTGTGGGTAATTATTCATTGTTACATCTTTGGGTATACAACTTTACTTTCCAATGGAATAGGTTAACTTTTGCTCAAAGAAGACAGTAGCTGAAGAGAGAAACAGTACCCATGTAATCTTTGGCAGATACTCTGTTGTGTTTTCTTCAGTCAGTTTAACCAAATAACTCTTCATGAAGATGGTTTCAAGTTGATCTTGCATATAAGCTTTGCATCACTTGATGTCTGAACACTGATTCCTGAAGTCTTCCCATGTGTTTCCTGTAGCCTGATAGGTTCTTTTCATTTGCCCTATGGTCCCTGCCTGCTTCTAGAGACTGGTCCACCTCTGCTTTGAGATTTTGTAGACCCATGTAACTGAGGACCTGTCAGACACAGAAAAACATCAGTATTCTAGATTTAGTAATAAATCTCAAGTTCCTATCTCAGGGCTTTTTTTGATCCAATAATCAGTTGGACTTTACTATTTAGTCCCAGTCTCCAAATTTAAGGTATATATTTACCAAAGCAATAGAAACCATATTTACATTTTTTATCCTGTAAAAAGAAAAACCCTATATTCCTAAAATATGAAAGCAGTACCCTAGTTTTGCAGAAGAGCCCACTAATTAAAAGGGACTAAGCTGTTTCACCCAACTAAATGTTCCATTAATCACACCTGACTGTCAGTGTAGCTGAACGAAACAACTGTAGGTCAGAGGCAGCCTTGCTTGTCTTTGAGGATTGATCTGAAAACTGACTCTGATAAAAGCAAAGACTACCAAACAATGCTTCTATGAACTGAACTAAGAGAAAAATGGCTTGAGGCAGATTAGTTTTTACTGCATTGCTGATTAATCTTATCATTAACAGAAAACATTTCAACTGCCATTTATTTCTAAATTTCACCTACAACATAATGACAGTGACCCTGACGGTGGTGAGAAGGCTATCATAGGAAGAATTAAGATCCCTAAATTTTCTCATCACTTGTTAATACAATCTACAGTATAACTTAGAGATTAAAAAAGTTAATGGGACAGAATCAGATTCAGCATATCCTGTCGTTTTAGAATTTTTCTTACCTTGGCTTAACAGATTAGCTGACCAAATCAGTTTAATCCATAGGAATATGGATTTAGCTTACATAATAAAATTCATGCCTTGTTCCTATATATGAAAATGACTTATTTGGCTTAAAATTTTTTAGATAAAAATTAAAGTTTACCGGAGAAGTGGGTAGTTAATTTACATGGTATGAAAAATCTGGAATTTTGAGGCTCTGAGCACCAGAACTTGCTTTTTATTATACCCCATCTTCCAAAATGAACTTGAGATCTTTACAAAGATGTAGGAAAACAAATACAAAAAATGTGGAGGAAAGGAAGAGTAAGTGCAGGAAAAAAAAATAAGACGAAGGCAGAGTCTTAACATCTACACATTAGTAGAATAAGAGCCGTAGCCCCACCTTTACCTGCAGATCCCCTGCCAGGTCGGGCCTGATGAGGATACTCAACTGTGCGTGAATGACGATACTGCGTATCTGCCTGAAAGAGAGACACTTCTTACAATGCAACTTCTCCCAAAAGAGGACACTTTAGCAGGTTTACAAAGGAAAACCCTGAAGGCAACAGCAATGTAAAAGGCATCACCTGCCAATCTGAGGGAAAAGTTGGCTGAGTGCAAGTTGGCTGAATTCCAAGTAGAAAATCCCAACCCAGATGCCCACAAAGCCATCTGTTAACTTATAAAAATTGCAAATTCTACAACTTTATTAATACGCCTTTAAGAAAATCTTAGCATTTATAAATAATCCATATGGTTTAATATTTCACTTAGCTTCCAAGGAGTTTTATCTGATTACTCTTTATTGCCTGCTGACTATTTAAAACAGAACCAGCCTTTTCAGTAACATTGAAATATCCATGACTTTACCACCATATTGGAATTTAACTTTACATTTACTTTTTAGCTTTATGAAACTCAAACATTTCAAAAATTACCTCAAGGAATTTAAAGATGTAAAGATATGACTAAGATATTAAAATGCAAATATCAAAGAGAAAGCTATAAATGCCATCCTGCTGGGGCTTCCAGAATAAAAAATGTCCCTCAGTTCCTATCAAGGCACTGGAATCAAGAGATTTAAGGATTTTTTTCTCATGAAGCCCCAATATTCTAGAGATCAAGGGTCAACAAACTTATTTTTTGTAAAGAGCCAGAGACAGTTAATATCTTAGGCTTTGTGGGCCATATGGTTGTTGCAACTAATGGACTTTGCTGTTGTGGTGTGAAAGCAGCCATAGACAGTACATAAATAAACGAGCTTGGTGGCTCTGTGCTCCAATAAAACTTTATTTACAAAAACAGGCAGTATGCCAAATAGCCTGTGAACTGTGCTGACCCCTAGTCTAGATGAAAACACCAAGGAGCAGAGTGCTTGTCTGGCAGCACCAGGCCATTGAGCTACTTAGCTCATCTCCTTTTAATGACAGCAGATGGGACAGAAATGACTAAGTAATTTTTACTTTGTTATTATAAACTTAAAAGAAAGAAATTCTGAAATGTTTTTATGTGTTCAGTTTTATTCCTAAAGCAACCAAAATTATATGTTTGAAAGGAGATAATCTAGCTTATAGAATATAATCAAACATAGCTAAACAAATGTCCTGAATCAAATTATAAGAAGACAAATCCAATAGAAGTTCTCAAACTTTCGGGATTCGCATTGAACCCCAAGAGCTAGAAATGCTAACTTTTTCTTTTTTCCCTTGTGTGCAATGTGTTCCCCGCTAAGTCAAGCTTGATGAGGTCTACTGGGATGAATAGTGTCCCCCTCAAATTCACGTCCACCTGGAACCTGTGAATGTGACCATATTTGGAAATAGGGTCTTTGCAGATGTAATCAAGTTAAGGTGAAGTCATATTGAATTAAGGTGGGCCCTAAATTCAATGTTTGGTATCTTTGTAAGAAGAGAGAAACCTGGGGCCAGCCTGTGGCTCACTTGGAAGTGTAGTGCTGATAACGCCAAGGCCAAGGATTCAGATCCCTATATAGGGATGGCTGGTTCACTCACTTGGGACAGCGTGGTGCTGACAACACCAAGTCAAGGATTACGATCCCCTTACCGGTCATATTTTTTTTTAAAAAAAAGGGAAATTTGGACACAAACTCACAGGAAGAAGGCCATGTAAAGAGGGAGGCAGAAATTGGCGTGATGCAGCTGCAAGCCAAGAAATACCAAGGATTGCAGGAAACCATCAGAAGCTAGGAAGAGGTGAAAAAATGTTCTTCCCTAGAACCTGCACAGGGAGCATGGCTCTGCTGACACCTTGATTTTGGACTTCTAGCCTCTGGAACTGAGAGAACACATTTCTTTGTTTTAAGCCACCCATTTTGTGGTCATTTGTTATGGCAGTCCTAGGAAACTACGAAGTCTCATTCATTTATTCTCACCACTCTTGTAGTAGAAGAAAAGATTGTACAGTGGTTTAGACTGATACAGTTCAAGGGTCATGACTTGGGAAGAGTGAGCTGCAAACACCACCATCCTGAAAACTGGTGCAGGATGTGAGGCCCCTGGTTGCTGGACACTAAGTGTGGCCCCAGTCACTTCCCTAGGCTCTCCCCAAGCCCTCTTTTCACAAAGCAGATGAAGTGGGGTGGAGTTGAGCTTCTGGCCTACAAATGGCAAGGTCAGCATATGATCCCCTGTCTTCCAACCAGGTTTTTTCCATTACTTGCTTAAAAGTAAAAGGGCCAGTAAATGCACACTAAGTGGAAAGGCAGTGTCAGCATTTAAAACACCAGTGGGAAAAAAGTCCTCTCTCATCCACTAGTCCTCATCACAATCTGACACCACTTTTGATGTATCTCCATAAGAGCAGGGTTAGACAATGAAATAATGCACTGTGATTTAACATTTTTTGCCTGTGCTCAGAAATATTTAAACTTTAAATTGTTTAGAATTCGTAATTTTTGTATAAGGCATTTTGCTGACAAAAGAATGAGCAGCAGGGGCCAGTTAGAATTTCAACAAAATGTATTTACAACAATGTTTTTATCATTAGAACCTCAACTTTTATTCTTGGAGTTGAATAAGCCAGTAAATAAAGTCTTAAGTCTGCCAAACTAGTATTTTTCCACCATTTCTTCCCCCAACTATCAAGACCATTTAGGAAGTATGTCACTCTACCAAAAATGACTGAGTTGTGTTGGGCCTAGAGAAGAAGTCAGGTAAAAGGAGCCTCTCTTGGGGCTGCTGATGGTTAGGCTCATCTACTACCGCACTTCGAGCTCGACTAGAATCCCCATGGAGTTTCTGCAGAGACAAAAGTTACAGAAACAGTTAAAACTACTTGTACTTGTAATGGGAGGTAGGCATGTCCTACATCAACCCTGGCAGCCCCCAGCTCCAATTCCACCGACATATATTAGAACTCAGTTTGTACTTTTGACAAAATATAGTATAAATCAAGACCAGAGCAAAAATCCTGCAAAATTACTGTCCATAAGGTTTTATAATAAGCACATGGGGAAATGCAATAAGAAAGATATACCATTTGCCTTTGTGGCCCCACAGTGCTCAGATGTTCCACTTCAGCTGTGCCAATAGGTGGCAGCAGATTATTTCGACTCAGGGGCATTGGTGAGGGAGAGGAGAGCAAGTCGGCAGTCACCAGGCTGCAAATCCCACCAGCAAGCACCGAGACACAAAAGCATGAAGTTATAACAATACAAGCAAACAGATTAGAAATCAAATAAATGAAGTAGATGAGTTTAATGTGCACAGAATAGATGAGTTTAATGTGCACAGAGAGCTTTAAGCTGCCTATGTTTTCTCAAAGTATTTTGGAAAATTAGAGTTCTGTGTTTCTTTTTTAGTATTTTCTGATTTTTTTTTTTTAAAGCTTTATCCTGGGCACACAGCAGAAGTTGACCCTTTCACAGAGAACTGGAATGATAGAACAGTTATACTTCTCTGCCAGTTATGGATTTTTAAATTCATATCTGATAGCCTTCTCCACAGTTCTGAACCTTCTGGTTGTCCTTTTCCCTAATAACTGTAATTTTCAGGTTAAGTTACTAAACTTTCATTTCCTTCCATGGGATTTGGAGAAGCTTGCAGTATTACTCATACCCAAGACAGTAATTGAAACTGAATGATACTTTCATGTCCCCAAAATAACAAAGCAACTTACTTTTCAACTTTGAAAAAAAGTACCGTCAGAGGGGATGAGAGATTAATTATACATCAAGACCACTCATTCCCAAGTGAATGAATCTATAGCTCTGTCAATATAGATGTAGTTACATCTACATAATAAAGACAGTAGAGCAGGTGAGGAGAACACTGGTGGCCTGATAAAGATTTTTGGTGGTTTTGGACATCCTTTCTGGTGAGAGTTGAGATAAATCATAACAAGAAACTGAAAAATCAAAGTAAATATCATGTTGGAAGAGAAGTACAGTGACATACTGAATTTAGAAGCTGAATTCAAAACACAGTTGTGGCCTTAGTATCTCATACCCTTGATTATAGTCTTAGAAATCAAATAAATAATTAAACAATTTAAAAAAAAAAAGAAACAATCCTAAGATAATTTGTGAACCAACAACTAAAGAAAGAATTTTATTTTATTTCTTTAAAGAAAGAATTTTATCATGCACTAAGTATTTTGTGCATGATGAGGCTCAGAGTGCTTAGTGAGTGAAGGTGGGGAAAAGGAAAGAAAATATTTTTAGTGCTACTTCCTAAGAAGTGCTAAGGGATATTTTTCCTGGTTTATTAGCAACTACTTATCTCAAGTTAAAAGTTTTCATTGTCAATGGAATCAGCAGGTCCCAATGGTACAGAAAAACATCAATGGGGAATTAACTATTATTTGGGGATGAACATGCTCCCTCTAAGGAAATTGTTTAATAAAATACATACAAGGGTACTTCAAAAAGTTGGTGGAAAAATGGAATTGAAAGATAATATGAATCTTTTCATGAATTTTTTTTTTCCTTAGCTACTTTCACATCTGTAACTCATGAACTTTTTGAAGACCCCTTGTATGTCCTTTATTCCGTTCATAAATACCACTGTTGTATTCTAGCCAACATTTTTTTTAGAAATATAAATCTTTAGCTAAATCAACAGAAAGATCCAATATCTGTATTTCATTAAAGTTTAACCCCATTTAAAAATTTTGTTTTGAATTTAAACCCATGGGCAATCCACTATAATACTTAATAACTAGTTTCTAGGCATAGATTTCAGTTTTATACTTAAATTCATTCTCTGTAAAATTCATTAGTTTTACCACAGCTTCCAGAAATTCTGCTTTTGAAACCTACACTCGGGATCCTCTGAGGATTTCTTCCACTGGTCTTGGCGTTCCAGAGCGTGAATGGCTTGTGCTGATCGGATGAAGGGTACGTGGTGGGGGGTTGCGTCTCCTGGCGGACTGCACTGTATATGACATAGATGATGTACTAAGCTCTAGAGGTCGATTTGGCCAATTTCGGGTTGAAAGGATGGTACTGGACCGAGGCCTCATAAGTAGCTTGTCATCAAGATCTCTAGTGGCCAAATCACAAATCCACAGTGAAATAAAGATCATTATGTACAGGAAGACAAGACTCACAGGGTAAAAAAAAAGCCTCAGGCTCTAAACTATATTCAGGGGGAAAAAAAGCAAAAATAAAAAGCTTTCAATAAGTAACTTGTTTCCAGAAGGTAATCTAACTCAGGCATAAGAATCTAAAAGTAGGACATTATTTCAATCATAAACATAATTTACTAGAATGGAGATTTCCCATTTTTCACCTGCCATCACAGTCATTTGTTAAGGATACCTACTCCAAAGTGCTTTCTAAAAGTATGCCACAGAGGCTGACATTCCTATTATAGTTGAGACATTCTTTTGTGCTGAAGGAGTGTCACCAGAATGACAATGGAAAGGCAAATATTACTGCTTGGGAGCAGTTGTGGCATCAGTGTGGCTCCCACTTTAAAGATTAAAGTGCTAAGCTAGCTGGAGCATGCAGGGGTCGGGACTCGGGCTCAGGTTCCTTGGAGAGCTGCAAGCAGGCAAAGAGTCCAGGACTTGTTCTGCCCAAGGCAGTGGGACCACAGTAGATCCCCGTTTGCATAAATACCTGTGAAACACAACCCTTTTCTGTATGTCCTCTAATAAATAAAATACCATGCCTAAATAGTTCAGTAGCTTAAACACTGCCCTAGAGATTCAAGGGTTTTGTTTGTTTGTTGTCTTTTAAAGCAGATGAGAGGACGTCTGACTATTGTAAGACATCTAAGAGACAGTATTTGCACAATGAAATGGAGGGAAAGTGAAAAAATAAAGCAGCTAAGCTCTGCCAATGGCTCTTCTGGCTTTCAGCAAGTTCCTGAACCTTTCAGACCATTTTGGCATCCTCTAGTGCAAAACATGTCTCAGTATTTGGAGGACTTTGAAGGGTAAATGTCCATCAAGGAATAGGAATAAACCTTGAGAATTAATCACAAGAGATCTTTCTGGTCTTCCTGACTTCCTAATCATTCACACCTTCTTTTACATGCCCTAGCTACTTTCTAATTACAAAAGGTTTATGCTTTAGCTGCCCTAAGTTCATCTTTATTTTGTTCTGTGAACTTCTTATTCATAATTCTGGATTTGATTATCATTTCTAGCCAGGTGACTTTTAGATCAGTCTCAAAATCTGATCTCATCCACATTTCCAATGAGGTGGCCCATCACTGTAAACTTAAAACACCCTGAAAGAAACTAGTTTTCCTTGAGCTTGAAATCTTAGAGCTGACTTTGGTTCCTCTATTTCCATAGAATTTCATTTCTTTTACAATAACTTCTCAGAGTCCATTCCTTTCTTATCCTTTGCTACAGCTTGAGTGCAGCCCCCAGCAGCTCATGCTTGAACTCCTGCTTTAGATGCCTGACCTTCAGTGTCTCCTATTTCAATCCAATCCATGTCCCAGTGCTGTGAAATCTTTCTAATTCCTTTTTTAAATATATATGCTCTCCAACTGAAACTCATACATTGCTCATAGGAGTGTAAAATGGTACAGTTACTTTGGGAAAGTGCATGGCAGTTCCTTATATAACGAAACATACACCTATCCTTTGACCCTTTCACTTCTAGGTACTGACCCAAAAGAAGTAAGACAGTAAGTCCACCAAAAACACATATGCAAGAATATTTATGGTGCCTTTATGCATAATAGTCCCAACCTGGAAACAACCTAAGTGTTAATTAAAAGGAATAGATAAACAAATTGTGGGGTATTCTCACAATGGAATATTACTCCACAATAGAGCAGGTCATATGCAACAACATGGATGAATTCAAGAACAAGGCATTCAAAACCCTTCACAATTTGGTCTCAATGTCCTTTTTACCACTAATCATACCATGACTATTTTAATTCTAGAAGACTGTTGATAATCTTTGATCAGAAACATTAAGATTCTGACTTATCTCCTCCTATCCTACTATAGCGAAATGGTCTGCTCTCTTTCCTAAATATTTTGTATTTTCTCATCTCCGAACATTTTCCCCATGCCATTCCTCCTACCTAGAATGGCTCTGCTGCTCTCCTCTGCTCATCCAAACCCCCATGTCTCAAGGACAAGTTCAAAACCTACATTTACCCACCAAAATGCCTACCTTTTCTGGTGCAGTCATAGCACTTGCTCTGGGTGGCACTCAGTCACAAACATGCCCTGTATGGTAAGGTTTCTATCTGTGTGTGTCTTCTCTTTCCAGTTATATTAGCTCCCTGAGAGTGGAGACCATGTCCCTTGGATGTTTTCCTCCCCAGGTCTCTGGTTGTTTGCTACGTACTCAATACACACAAGCTGACTGACTGACTTTGCTTTCCCTTTATTTCTCAATGATCTACTTAAACTCTATATTCTTCAAATTTTATACTTCTTACAGGAGCTTGTCCATTAGGGAGAGATTTCTTGGCTGTAGAGGCATCCCATGAACCAAGAGACCATTCACATTTGGCTGATGATCACTTGCTTGACAGAGACTCACCTACATGTCAAAAGAAGATTTTACTCATTATCGATTGGTGAAGATACCTGCTTAGTTTCCCAGCTTCGCTAAAAGTCAGTATTTCCAATTGGGTCATTTATACAATTTTTCCCCTCTGCCTTAACTTTTATAACATCTTGGCCAGTAGCCATAGCTAGGGACCCAGTCCATTGTCAAGATGAAAGAGTCCTTTCTTTCCTCTCCATTTCTAAATGACAGCACATGGGGGAAGCCTGATCAACCTAGATGAAAGCAATTAATGGCCACTCTCACAGGGGACAGAGGACCTTTATTATTATTATTTGTATTACTATGGAAAAGAAAACATAGAAAGAAAACTCATAAAATATGGAATAATATGAAAAAAAGGATAAACTCTAACTTAATCTCTTTCATAGCACATAATCCTGCACTCTGCACAAACTAGTCCTTTCTCTTTCACTACCTCTGGAGCAGTCAGCTCTCAGTGATAACCTAAATCCTGAAGACTTTATCAGGAATTAATCTTAACTGTTCTAATGTTAGCAGGATTTAATCTTACTTTGAACTGGCATTGCCACCCTAGATCTTGTTTATTCTCTCAGGTCTAGTTGATTCTAGATTGCACAACTCATGGATGCCTCTTCAAAAGAGCTAATTGAGAATTATCAACCCTAATTTGATATTAAATTTTTAAACTGAAACTGATCAATGCAAAGAGTCACTGGTTTATCATGATAAACACATAACTGTACAGAAAAATATTGGGTCAAAAACAACACAAGTAAGGCAAACAACTCTGAGCAAATTTCTGGCAAGAACAACCTTGGGTTCTCCAATACACCCCCCGCAGGGGCCTACCGGATTTGAGGTGATGGACAGCACCTTAGACTGTGGCACTCGTGGTAACACCAAAGGTTGTGGTTCACTCAGCACACAGGGACTCTCAAAATCTGGTCTGGTGATCGCAACATTACTCTCATCATCTGAGCAAAGGAAGGGAATCTGTTATCCATGGATATCTTCTGACACACAGCTCAATGGTACTGTGAAAAAAATCTCACCTGAGAATTCATAATCTCAAGCAAGGCTTCACTCATCTTTGAAGCCTAATTTCATACCACCTGCATGGTTCAAAAAAACCCCCTCAAACCAAGAGTAGTTGAAAGTGGTTTCCCAGGCTGGCGATTCCTACTGGTACCCGACAGAAGGAAAAGCAAAGATCTCTAGAGCAAAGCTCTCTGACAGAAACTTTGGAGTTGATGGAGATGTTTTACATCTGTGCTCTCCAATGTGGTTGCCACTAGGCATATGTAGCTATAGAGCACTCAAAATGTGGCTAGTGACTGAGGAACTGAATCTTTAATTTTATTTAATTATAATTACCTTTTAAATAGCCACACATGGCTAGTAACTACTCTATTGGACAGTATAGCTCTTGGGGAACCTTCAGATCATTAATCCAGACCTTAATTATCACAGGTAAAGTTATGAGATTAGAAACCCCTGTCAAAAATCACATGGTCCACAAGGAAACAAGGCACCTTGAAAATAAGCAAACAGAAACAACACAATCAGATCAGCAAAGACTTCAGAAATTGGAATTAACAGATGCAGAATGGAAAATAAAAGAATCAATTGGAGATATGAGTAAAAGCAAAACATCATAAAAATGACCAAGGAGATTTGAAAAAGAACACAATAAAACTAGAAAAGGTCATTAAAATTACGAAAATTAAAAACTCAGCAGAAGGTTCATAGTAGAAATAGTGAACTAGAAGAAAAAGATCTGTAGAAATCATCCTAAATTCAGAGAAACAAGGAGATGAAAAAAATGAACTGAACACTAAAAAGGGTGAATTTTACTGTATGTAAATTATACTTTGATTTGAAATGTAAAATATAGAGAAAGTAAAACCACAAGAGAACACTCTTTTACACACTGACAAAAAATTAAAAAATGAAAAATAAGTGCACCAGTCAGCCATGCAAAAAAAAAAAAAAAAATAATCAAAAATTGAAAAATAAGTATTGATGAGATGTGGGCACAGGGACACGTGTATTGGGCATATAAACTGGTACGCTCACTTTGGACAATCTGGTATTATTTCCTATGATCCAGCAATTCCACTCCTCAGTACATACCCTAGAGAAACTCTTCAATGTGTGCCAGGAAAAATGCTTACGAATGTCCATAGCATCATTGGTCATAAGTGCCAAACACTGGATTTTAGTATTTCTAAAACACATGGGATTTTAGCACTTCTCACAATCAAGTATGGCTACAAAACTGAATTCAACATGAAAAATCATGTTTCTGAGTAAAACTAATATAAACTCTTTTGGTCTCCATTGTTTCCAAATCATTTCCATTACCATCACTTAGCTTACTACTATTGTTTCACTCAGAGATTAGGATTAAAAATAATGAAAATGATAATAATAATTTATTTATTTATTTTTATTATTGTGGCCCATCACCAAAACCTCTCTCCCTCCCAATAATGTCCTTTCTGTTCACTTGTCGTATCAACTTCAAGGAATTGTAATTGTTATGTCTTCTTCCCTCCCCCCCCCCGATTTTTTGTGTATTTATTTATTTATTTTTAGTTCCCACAAATAAGTGAGAACATGTGATATTTCTCTTTCTGCACCTGACTTGTTTCACTTAATATACTTCTCTCTAGGTTCATCAATGTCATTGCAAAAGACAGTATTTCATTCTTTTTTACAGCAGAGTAGTATTCCATTGTGTAGATATAGCACAGTTTCTGTATCCACTCATCTGATGATGGACATTTGGGCTGGTTCCAATTCTTAGCTATTGTGAAGAGTGCTGCGATGAACACTGGGGAACAGGTATACCTTCGACTTGATGATTTCCATTGCTCTGGGTATATTCCCAGCAGTGGGATAGCTGGGTCATATGGTAGATCTATCTGCAATTGTTTGAGGAACCTCCATACCATTTTCCATAGAGGCTGCACCATTTTGCAGTCCCACCAACAGTATATGAGAGTTCCTTTTTCTCCACAACCTTGCAAGCATTTATCATTCACAGTCTTTTGGATATTAGCCATCCTAACTGGGGTGAGATGGTATCTCAGTGTAGTTTTGATTTGCATTTCCCAGATGCTGAGTGATACTGAGCATTCTTTCATATGTCTGTTGGCCATTTGTATATCTTCCTTAGAGAAATGCCTACTTAGCTCTTTTGCCCATTTTTTAATTGGGTTGCTTGTTTTTTTCTTATACAGTTATTTGAGTTCTTTGTATATTCTGGATATTAATCCTTTGTCAGATGTATATTTTGCAAATATTTTCTCCCACTCTGTTGGTTGTCTTTTAACTGTTAATTGTTTCTTTTGCTGTGCGGAGCTTTTTAGTTTGATATAATCCCATTTGTTTATTTCTCCTTTGGTTGTCCGTGCTTTGGGGTCATATTCATGAAATCTGTGCCCAGTCCTACTTCCTGAAGTGTTTCTCGTAGGTTTTCTTGAAGAAGTTTTATTGTTTCAGGGTGTATATTTAATTCTTTAATCCATTTTGAGTTGATTTTAGTATATGGTGAGAAATATGGGTCTAGTTTCATTCTCCTGCATATTGATATCCAGTTATCCCAGCACCATTTGCTAAAGAGGCAGTCTCTTCCCCAGTGTATAGGCTTGGTGCCTTTGTCAATGATCAGATGGCTATAGGTGTGTGGGTTGATTTCTGGATTCTCTATTCTATTCCCTTAATCAGTGTGTCTGTTTTTATGCCAGTACGATGCTGTTTTGGTTATTATAGCTTTGTACTATAGATTAAAGTCAGGTAGTGTTATGCCTCCAGCTTTAATTTTTTTTGCTCAGCGTTGCTTTGGCTATGTGTGGTCTTTTGTTATTCCATACAAATGTCTGGAGAGTTCTTTCCATTTCTGAGAAAAATGTCATTGGAATTCTGATAGAGATTGCATTGAATTTGTGTATCACCTTGGGTAGTATGGACATTTTCACTATGTTGATTCTTCCAATCCAAGAGCATGGGATAT